TACAATTAATTGTGTTCCCGTCGGATTTCCGAACACCTCTCTGCGTGGTTAAGTAAAGGACAAACAAAATCCATTCGTAGCGCTATTCTGTCCCATCTTGTGGATACAGAACACAAGATTGATGTCAACGAGGCTTTCATAGTCATTTACCGCATACCAACAAATCTTAACATCGCCTTAATTTTATTTTATTTTTGATTACAGCTTGATTCCACACCGTATTTTTTCGTACAGGTATGGAATTTTCAGCATGTGATATCGGTGTAACAACAGAAGACAAGGGCCAGGCAACAGATCGTTTTATTATGAAAATCAACACGTATTTATACATCTTTCAACTACATTATTATAGACAAGCGCAGTCATCTGATTGGTTGTTTAGGTAGACAAACGCAGGCTTCTGATTGGTTGTTTCGGGATTCCTTGACAAATAGAGTTCTCTCTGCGAATCATATTTTGCCACGTTAACTTTGCTGTGATTGGTTGTTGACTCAGGCTTGTTCATATTTTCTCACGGCCCATATTAGGGACCTAGACCTTAACGTAGATTAGTGCTAACCAATCGGCTAGCAGCCTGCTCTCACCACACTCGTCCCCCCGTCAAATACGTGCGACTGAAGTCGGCTTGATCTACTTGGTGCAGGCGTCATCGTTGGCTTGTCTCGCTGTATCCATTTCTGGAGCTCGCTGACGTTCACGCGCCTCTTATTGTTCGCCATTGCAACTGTGTCTGCGTAACCCCATCTCGAAGTGACCATATATGGTCCTTCCCACTTTGGAAACTGTTTGCCTGACCCTGTCGAACATTCGTCCATACTTCGGCTCACACTTTCATATGCTGCTTTCACCCGACCTCCCAGCAGCGTCCCAAGTAGCAGCTCCATCGCTGACAGATCTTGAACGCCACTCAACTGCGCAGAAGCCTTGAAGTCCTGCCCGAAGATCCATATGTCTCCATCAAAAACTGCAGGGTATAGGCTTTTCATTTGTCGGTAGGCAGCGACACCAAATGTAACAACAGAAGACAAGGGCCAGGCAACAGATCGTTTTATTATGAAAATCAACACGTATTTATACATCTTTCAACTACATTATTATAGACAAGCGCAGTCATCTGATTGGTTGTTTAGGTAGACAAACGCAGGCTTCTGATTGGTTGTTTCGGGATTCCTTGACAAATAGAGTTCTCTCTGCGAATCATATTTTGCCACGTTAACTTTGCTGTGATTGGTTGTTGACTCAGGCTTGTTCATATTTTCTCACGGCCCATATTAGGGACCTAGACCTTAACGTAGATTAGTGCCAACCAATCGGCTAGCAGCCTGCTCTCACCACATCGGTAGTCCAAATTTTGCAGGCCGACCATAGATATCAGGTGTGCTTTGGCAGGAGATCGAACCCGGATCATGTGCATGGTCGGCGACAGTCCTAACCACTGTGCCAACGACGCACCGAGTTCGTCTACTACATATTGCTGGGGCCGTTGGCATCCACATTAAGAAACTTAATTTATGTGTCTAAAAGAACCTAATTCAGACATTGTACTAACCTTGGCCATCTAAATTCAAATGGTCCGCAATTTTTTGTAGAAATTTCCTTAAATTTATTTTATATTCTATTTGCTATTATGTTTTTATTATTATAATTATAATTTATGCATCTGTAGTGAACTGTAATTTCATTGATCTCACTTAGGAAATCGATATTATTTAAAAAAACACTGATATTGTTATTGACTTACTATTCTGGAATATTGTATGTATGTATGTCTGTGTGGAGGTCAGCAGAATTCAGAATCAAAAATAACATCCGGATTTTCAACTCCAATGTAAAGTCAGTGCTACTATACGGATCAGAGACTTGGCGCGTCATAAAGAGCATCTCAAACAAACTACAGACCTTCATCAACAGCTGTCTTCGCTCAATACTCCAGATCAGATGGCCAGAAAAGATCAGCAACAGGGATCTCTGGCAATTAGTGAACCAACCCAGCAGGAACCGATTGTGAAACAAATAAGCAGGAAGAAATGGAGGTGAATTGGCCATGACATCACTAGACAAGTCATTGCTCGAGTGGGACCCGAAAGGGAAGCGGCGAGTTGGTCGTCCAAGGGTGTGACTTGGAGGAGGTCATGTGAAGGGGAGATGAAAGCATGTGGGTAGACTTGGAGCCAGGTGAAAACTTTGACAGAGAACCAAACGCAATGGAGACACGCGACTGAAGCCGTATGTTCCTCTAGGAACTAAAGGATACAATAATAATAATAATAATAATAATATAATAATAATAAGCATCTATATAATTGTAGAGTCAGAAGGAGAAATTATCGAAAAGGATATTCTTTGCTCAATTATTTTGTTTTTTTATACATGTCTGAATGAATATTTTCGCTATATTGACATCTCAACTTCCTCATGACGTTAATGATGTTAGTGTCAGCAATTATATTGAAGCTGCCACAGTGAAACAAAAATGAAGGGATCCAAATCATTCATATCACCTACTTCATCTTAATATTATGTTTCTAAATGGTATCCTTGAAAATATCTTCTTTGCTCTCAAAAAATTGATTCTGTTCAAATACTTTGTTTTTTAAGTACAATTAACTGTTTTGGCAAACCATATGCCTATTATTACTTTTACCCCTAAACTTTTAATTGATCACAATGACTTAGATGTATTCACTCCCTGACCTACGTAGTTATCATTTCTCTGTGGTTTATTATCTTATTTCTGTGTCTTCATTCACCTCTATATAAGCTTCAAGGAATTTAAACGATTACACATGCATGAAGTAAGAGCTTCTTTTGTGTATTGAATGTAGAGGTCTTGTGCAATGGTAACTGGTGCTTATTAGTCCTTATTATTATTGGTCTGAATAGGTAGACTGCACAACCTGCTTTTTCATTTTCAAATAATCATAATACTAAGTAGTTAAACTGAAAACGACAGGTCATCCAGCTGGTGATCTGAGCTTGCAAATTTGCTACATTTAATTAATTTAATTTTTGATCACAGCTTGATTCCACACAGTATTTTTGGTACAAGTATGGAATTTTCAGCATGAATATCGGTAGCCCAAATTTTGCAGGCCGACCATAGATATCAGGTGTACGTCGGCAGGGGATCGAACCTCGGACCATGCGCATGTTCGACGCGATTCCTAACCACCGATATGCCTTTGTTTCGAATTTATCTCCAAAAACTTGTATTGTTAGCGCCCTCATATTCATAGTATGACACACATCACTTAGTGTATAAAAATGTTTTTTCAGACAATTATTACTACTTATTAAACTTCGATGTTTATTGATCATGAGCTTTTTTTCTTAATTGTTCCTCATTGTCAACTTTGCTGCCTGAGTATTATCCCTCGTAAGTAATTATAACTTAAATACACGCAAAATATAGACTGCAAACAATGCATAATACTTATGAAAAACGCAACTGGTTAAGTGTAATTGATATGAGTATAAAACTTGGACACTGCAATAGAGTATAATTCCATTATTGATAAAAAAATTTATTTTGATAAAGTTACACAGTGTTATACAGTAATATTTACTGGTGGCATTTCGAGCACAATTTTGATATGATTATGAATTGGCCATGCCCTGAGAAAACCATCAAGTGGTATCACACACCGGACTGTCGAGTGGAACCCGATTGGGAAGCGGCGAGCTGGTCGTCGGAGGGTAACATGGAGGAGGTCATGTGAAGCGGACATGAAAGCATTTGGGCAGGCATGGAGCCAAATGGAAACGATGGCGGAGAGCCGAATGCAATGGAAACAAGCGGCTTAAACTCTATGTTCCTCTAGGAACTAAAGGAGATAATTTTATTATTATTTAAGCATCTTTAATAAACTGTAATTGCATTGATCTTAGTCTACAAATCAATATTATTTAAAAAACACTAATATTGTTATTGACTACTAATCTAGAATACTCTATGTATATAAACATATATATAATTGTAGAGCCAGAAGAGGAAGTTATCGAAAAGGATATTCTTTGCTCATTTATTTTGTGTTCAATAAATTGTGCTCGAAATATCATCAGTAAATGTTACTGTGTAATACTGTATGACTTTATCAAAATGAATTTTATCCGTAATGCTTAAGTGTAAATTAAATTACTTCACTAGATATGATAGAGAAAATTTGTAGCTCAGGTGGATGATTTTGATGTGATTATGTTCTCTGAGCTGAAAGCTTCACAAAATAACCATCCAGCTCAGAGAACACAACCACATCTAAATTACTTCACTTTAAATATGTTCATAATGTAAAACTGATTGCTTTATTTTGTAAATGTCATCTTAACTTCATACCAGAGCCATCGTCTTCCTCGACGGGCAATGTTAGCTGATACAGGGTCAGGTTGGAAAAGGGCCAGTCGTGGTCAATCCTAAACATGACATCAGTCAATGAAATCCACAACAGTTAGTTTAAGCCACGTAGAAAGATGTAGACTTCTGGTTGGGTACTCGGGACGGCAAACACCAATGCCTAGAAACAATTGGTGATATGGTTCAAAATCATTCTCAATGGCGCAGATGCATCCACTCTTTGTGACTTATAATAACCAATAAAACTATATTGTCCTTCGATATTACTTTTCTTTCTGCCTCATATTTCTGTTTACTGTCTCTATTTTGCGTTTCCTTTTTACTTTCTTCTTTTGCTTTGTGTGCTACATGGAGTGTGGCGACTCGAACTGCTGCACATCGGTGCAAAGTTCTATGTTGAAACCAGTCAGTCAGTCATACTAGAAAAGCATTCCTATACGATAACTACTAATGAATTTACCACGCGTTTTTTCTTACTCAATAAAATATCATATATTCTGTATTCACGCGTATTGGAATCTAAAATATCTATATTTGTATTTGCGTAGATGTAACTATTCATTATTTCTAATCGATTATAGAGATGGTAATATGACCTTTCTTTTCTTGTACATGTTAATGTGTGCATAACTTCATTTTCTTTGCGTAGGCGTTGAACGGCTTTTGGATTGTGTTGAACAACGGTCTGCGAATTGTGACTGTCCAATTTATTTTGTGAGAGATGATTACTTAGCTCGCAAGGTAAGTGTATAAACTGGCTTCTAGCTTTAACATTTATTTATTATTTATTTAAACGCATAAAAACTTGGTACAATATGGCACCAAGAAGGATGCGCCACACAATAATAATAAAACAACATAGATCGAAAGAAAAAAAGAAAGGAAGAGAAAAAAAATATAAGTAGAGAACGGATAAAGAACTTCATCTGGAAGGAAAACAGTCATGCTTAACTAGTTTAAACAGTGTTCGTTAACTATCATCGGGAAGGGAAGAAAGAAGGAAATTGCAACACGTTCACCACTGATTACAATTCTTGTCCATATCCGATAACGTTTCGAGCCATGGATTTGAGCTGTTGCTTCATTTGATTTATTTTGTGAGGACTGAGATACTGCCCGGGCGCCCAGACCAAAGCAGGTGGTTTTATTAAAGGACCACCCTCGAGCCTTTGACTTGGAGTCTAATCCGCAAGGCAGCGGAGCAGCGTCAGGAGCTGCATTCCCATGGTTTCCGGTGACCCATATGGGTTCATACGCCATTTGATCCTATTGGATACTGGAGCCCATTTACCCCATGGTAACTGTTTTTAGTTTAACCGCTATCCAAACAACCTTCCTGACATGGTAGGACCTGCAGGGGCATGAGTCTCAGCCAGTTTAGCTTGTTGGGTCATTGCGGTATTCAAGCCCAACCACCACGGCAAGGTAGCAGCTATCGGCCGGGTCTAGCTTTAACAGCTAAACTAAAGAAAAAATAACTCACCAAATTTCTCTTATCTACTTAAAGTCTCATCATCTCATGCTGGTTTGTTTGATTCATTTATTTGTTCTCGAGAGAAGATTTAAAATTAAAAACTAGTAGATAACTGCATAGTTCAGTTTTTATATTAATAGCTTTAATTGAATAATTCACTAACTAGTAGAGATTTCTTTATGTTTCTAGTAATCGAGACTTGTGTTTGAGAACTTGTTTAGGAAGGCGACTTGAACTGCCGCACATATGTGCAAAGTTCTGTGTCGAAAACAGAGACTTGTTTAGGATGATGAAAGTCGGTTGATAGATTCATTTCACACTATTTAGTTGAATTCCTGTTTTTGATTACATCTTTGTTTTACTGAATATTACCATTTATGGTCAAAGTAGGCTTTAGTTTCATTTTGTCTACTCATGGTGCACAAAATTTTTATCATTCTCCGCCTACATTCAGGACAGAAGTATATAATGTCATCAGTAACATACTGTGTGTGTGTGAATGTCAAAGTTTGAAATAACCTAATTGTAATTTCAACAGACCCATTGAATGTATGTGTATGTAGAAGTATTTTGCAGGAAACTTGGCGATAAATAAGTAATAAAAAATGTTTACCTACATATACAATTAAAAAAGGAATTAATGTTCAATCATGTGTAGCGCCGCAGCGTATCTACGCTCGGGTTAAGTTATTTTCTGAACTGCCCTTTTGCTCAGAATAAGTTTCAACATCATAATAGATATCGTTATTAAGGCTAACTAATGGGATGTTGGGATGATTCAAGAAATTAAGCTACTAGAATGATGGTCACAATATTTCACTTCTCGTTTCACAGCGAAAGACAGTGTGATCTTAAGAAATGTAGCATAATTGTCTGTTTATGAACTTAAATTCAGTATAACTAAAGGTGAACAAATCAAGACGTAATATTAGTTTATAAAGTTTCTAGTCAGTTGCTTTTCTGAGCCATCCATGTGAGTGCATGTTAGTTTTGAGTAGAAATCAAACACTGTATTTATTTTTTGAACTTTGTGCTTACCTTGATTGTATGTTTTCCTATTATTCACCTGTATATTTTCAATATATCAGGAATCTCGTTAACGTTTTATGTTTTTTTCAGTGCTATAACCTCCTGAACCGCTAGTTACTATAATAAAGATCGAAATTGTGATTCCATGTGAATGGACAACATCTGTTTAAGAATGCAGTCTGTTATTTACAGAGTAAATAGTTTCAAATGAAATTTCAGCACAGTTTCCTGTGGAGAATTTAAGATACTTACATACCAATATATATAACCTTCCTGATACCTTAAGTCGTATCAAGTCGTACATATTACTGATTGTTATGAGTAGCCAACCAGCATTTAGACGATATGAGCTGATTTGGCTTTCTGTGCTGGGTCTATCACGCTAAATTGCTAATGATCGAGAAAACCGTCTGGAACCCAAACCACTTCTGTCTGGTTAGCAAACACAAGTGTGTTTGATGCGAGTAGCTGGAATATCTGCTCCAACAGCTCTAAATCAATCAAAGTTTACATGAATTGTTTTCACTTTACAAAGTGAAGTCAATAAATATCAACCTGAGTTCTGTAGAAAAATGTAGGATGTCAACATTTAAAAATCACTGTATTGCTGACCTCAGTCACATGGTTCAAAATAGGTTACAAATATGCGGGTGTATTAACCTTTTATCATAAGATAATAGAGATATTTGTCAGCAGTAGTATTATTCAGTCCCGTGTAATGTAAAAATTAACCGGAGTGAGTTACATGCAAATATAGCTAGTTAATTATTGAATTGAATTTTTGATTTTCCCGTCGATTGTGGGAACATCATCACTCACTGAGAAATGCAGGTACATCCAGCTGACGAGTCCCATATAGGAGGAAATGCGCATCCTGGATTCCACTGCTAGCCACCATCCACCAATCGTATAATAGCTAGTTAATCTTGTGAAAATTACTTTAATTTAATACAAATTAATCTCGACCAGGTTAGATCACAGATTGATATCATTTACAGAACCATTGAAAACCAGGGAGTACTGGATAGCTGTTTCATCCAGTCGGGAGTGAGGATGGATTTCCCCCAAAAGACATTGGTTGGTAGTCGCGTTAAAATCACGAATTGTTAGAAGTTAGAATTCATGTGCTGGCCTTTGAATCTGGTCGCAGTAGCTGAGCTTATCTTGTAACCAGAAGGACGTGGGTTCAAAACCCGACGGGTGCGTACTGGCCATTAATCCCAAAACTAGGATTAAACATCTGTCCAATACTCCCTGGTTTCCAATGGTTCTCTAACTGATATCAATCAGTGGTCTACTCTGAAACAGATAGAATCCCTACAAACTAATTCTTGAAAATAATTCTTACCCAGTTAAAGGTGGTCCATAGAAAGCACTGTTTCTTATGTTTTTTCATGTTTGTTGGAACTTGTTAGCAAAGCGTACTTGCAACCTTGATGAAGTTGAACCATCGCAGTGAATTTCCATCTGCACCAGCCAAATTTTTTCAGGTGGACATTTTTTTTCAGGAGACGAAAATTATTTTATGTTCTTGAATGAAAATACCATATTGTGTTGTGTTTCGGCGGTCATAGATTCACGCGAATCTCAACAGAGCAAAATTACACCTCAATATAGTTATTTAGTCGTAAGTAAACATTAAAATTTTTTTATCGAGTTCTAAAGAATTTAGATCATTGCCCGGACCTAAACGCTTGTATTGGTTGTCATCTGGCAACTGTCCAGTCTTACCAGTCATAACCTAAATCTCATTGCAGTGTACCCGTTAATTTCAGAATAGAGCACTTGTTCTAATGATGTTTCTTCCTAGAGATTATTATCTCAGTGAAATTCGCCTTAGTTAACTTTTGTAGAATATGAAAAAGATACAGACATTGGAGACAAAAAATAAGCTAGATAGAGAGTATTTTAACTGCTACGGGATAGTCTGAGAATTACAGATGCGTTTCTTCATTCTTAAACAGACTGGCTTGTATTTAATACACCATTCGAATATAGGAAGTGGCGTGATTGAGTACATAGGTCACCTCAGTAACTTGGTGAAAGTATACATTCATTAATATCAGAAGAAAATTAACACACTATGGGTTAACTTAATGCCTAAAACTAATACACGTAGCAGAATATTGACAGTATTAAAATTTATAAATCAGGATACCCTAACTGGCCAGCAATTGACTTTAGGAACACCCGACAGTTGAACTATCTAAAGATTTAGTATCAATTTTAGGTCCATTAGAGATCGGTGACATTCCAGACTACCTTCTTGTATAATATGAAATTTAGAAAAAATAAGAGTGGTTATTTATTATTTATTTTATCCCTTCGCGTTCCCAGTAGAACATAGGGCTTCAAGCTAGAGCTTCTAAGTTCCGGTAGCAGTGGTATTTATTTTTATGGAATGGGGTTGCTAACTTCATGCCCAACCTTCCCTTTTCACCAATCCCAATACTGGCTTAGCAAGGTAAAGGAGTGCGTCGGCCGGGGATCAAACCCAGAACCACCTGCACGGTTGGTGAGCATTCTACCGTTGTGCCTAATTATGTAAATAATGAAGACAAGAACAATGGCATAGAATTCAAAGCATATGTAGTACTGCCGCATAAAGAAGGAGCATCAGAGATCTGCGTTGGATTCTTAGTTAGGCTGGAATTAGACTGGAATTCAGGTCAACTAACTTATTTTGAGATAAACTTTTTCGGCTTGAAGATCCGATAGATCCAATTTTAAAAAATGGTATAATTTTCTAAATTGTGAGATCAGTTAGACTGTCGGAAAAAAGTCCAGCCATCTTAATGCATTCACTAGTATGTAGTCACACAACTGGATGTGATAGGGTAAATGAATGTAGGTAGGTGGAAAGAGGTTAGTCACCACATCTTCATTCATCAAATCAACACTAAACACATGCAATCCAAACAATATAACACCTATCCCGATTTTATGGAAAATTGCAACACAAAACAGAAGGAAGCAAGGCTATCTAAAGAAAATTATCGAATCATGTCAGTACATTCATGTGATTATGAGCAATAAATTGTGCTCAATATGTGATTCATTTATTAGTACTGCAATTATACGTGTTATATCAAGTGAAGTTATCTAATATGGAACCCACTGATTGAGTTAGTTAGGAGTTGTTTACTAATTGCCATCCACCATTTTTCCAATGCATGATATTTGCTGAGATATAATTGGGTTGGAATAAAGTAAAGCGTAGTTCCATAGAAGCATAACATTAAACCAACCAAGTTATCAATGATCTTGGTTATATCAGCAAGTGTAAGTTCTTTGATTAGGTTCGTAATGACAACTAAAAACTATAGATGGAGGTAGTTTGCAAGGTATAAATGCACTTACATTTTGTGTTTTTTATACTATCGTGTTTTTCTCATGCGTTACACATGACTAGTCATCTCCTTCCTCAATGGGAGAAGTTAGCTGACACAGTATTAGGTTGGAAAGGGGATAGTGGTGGTCAAATGAAAACATTGCACCAGTCAGTGAAATGTACAGCAGTTGGTTCAAGCCAGCCACGTAGGGAGGCGTAGATCTCCTGGTTGGAGTCCTAGGGATATTAAAGACCAATTGGCTGGAGACAGTTGATGATATAGTTCAGAATCGTTTTCAAACACATCGCAGGTGCATTCATTCGTTGAGATTTTTCGTATCCAATAAAACGTTACTGTTCTTCTATATTACTATTCTTTTTGCCTCACACTTCTGTTTATTATCTCTCTTCTAAATCTCTCTTTACTTTCTCTTGCTTTGTGTGCTACATGGAGTGTGGCGACTCGAACTGCTGCGCATCGGTGTAAAGTTTTATGTTAAAAGCAGTCACTTAGTCAATCATGTTTTTTCATTAATTTAACATATTTCCCGTTTCTCAGTAATGTTTAATGAAATGTTATAATTTTACTTCTGCGTTTCCACCTTACCTTCTATTTGTTTGTACTGTTCATGTGTTGTTAGGTGTAGCAACCACCAACGTTCAGTGGTGTCATGCTTGAGAAGTATCTAAAGTGAATTCGTTGCTAGAAGGTTCCCATTGTGCTGCTTTATCAGGTTTTTTTTCAAAATTTCGAAATCAGGTGTGTAAGGAGGCTATCAAGCTTAGTGTCATGACACCGCTGTACACTGTGATACACTGCTATCCGATATTGGCTTCAAGCATGTGTCAGTTATCAGAAGATACTAAATTGATGCCCTCTCAAGACATACTAACAAAGCCCTTCATCATCACTGAAGAAATACGTGTTACCTGTATGATTTAATTTAGGTACTGAGTGATAAACGTTGTACCATGGAGCACGCTGTGAAAATATACTGCATTGTGTGATGGGTTTGAGTTACTGTTGAAACCTAACAACTGTTCATTGATTGCTTTTTGTTTGTTCTTGGTTCTTTGAATGAGAGCTTTTATTGACATTTAGAATTACACATTTCTATAGGTGTAACTCAAACGTTATACCTTTTTGCTGTTTACTTGCATAGTGTGCTTCACCATATTGTCGCTACTTCTATAAAAACATCAATGGTGTAATAATTGTCGTCTTCTGACGCTCCATTTTTTGTAATATAATTGACAGTAAAATGCGAACGTGCACTGTCAAAACGCATCATTTTAATGGCTAACTTGCATTCCAGTTGCTACTAGTGTTCATATTGAATGCATAGTAATTTAGTGAAATAAACAGTCAAAGAAGTTAAAATAAGTGTAGTCGCGCGGATAACAACCTTTTTTATGGAGATTCCAACTGAATCGTGGATATTCATCTCTATATCATCAGTGTTTCTTAGAAGACACTTAAGTGCGTGTCACCAGACGGGCAAACCAAAAACCAAATCGACTTCATCTCAATCTCAAGGAAGTGGAGGCGCAGCCTACTGGACACAAAAGCAAGAAGAGGAGCAGACGTTGGCTCAGACCACTATCTCGTACAAGGGACAATCCAAATCAAATTAAAAGCTTTCAGGGAATCAGGAGCTGCAGATAGACCACAAGCCAAGTTCAACACTCAAAAGCTGAAGGACCAGGCTACAAAGGACATCTTCATTGCAAGCATAAAGGACAAAGCCGAGACACAAATCAACACCAGCCAAAAGGTCAGCGTCGAAAAGCACTGGAACAACTTGAAAACGGTGTGGAGCCAAACCTGCATAGAAATTCTAGGCAGAAAAAAGAGACAGGACAAACAGTGGCTCACTACGGACACTTGGAAACTAATAGAAGAGAGAAGGACAGTGAAGCAAAAGATTATCCAGTGCACTGACGAGCAACAAAAACAGGAGCTGAATGCAAGCTACAATACACTGAACAAAAGAGTGAAGAAGAGTGCCAGGGAAGACAAAAGAAAATATTATGAAACCATGGCAAACGAAGCAGAACAAGCTGCAGGCAAAGGAGACCTCGCCACACTCTACCAAACAACTAGGAACCTTTCGGGCAAACGTTCGACACAGATTAAGCCAATAAAGGACGACAATGGAAAGTCAATCACCAAAGAGGTGGAACAGAGAAAGCACTGGGTTGAACACTTCAAAAGACTTCTAAATCGTCCGCCACCTACAACACGTCCAGCAATACCAACAACGGAAGCAGAACTACCAGTGAACACTGACCCCCCGACGAAATCAGAAGTCCTGAATGCAATCAAGATGCTAAAAGCTGGGAAAACACCGGGACCAGATGGAATCCCAGCAGAAGCTTTGAAAATAGACCCAGAGACAACAGCGGACTTGATGACACCACTACTGGAGAAGGTGTGGAAAGAGGGCAAAGTACCCGAGGATTGGAAGAACGGATACTTATTCAAACTTCCAAAGAAAGGAGACTTAAGTCAATGTAAAAACTGGCGTGGAATTATGCTTCTGTCCATTCCAAGCAAGATACTAAGTCGCATCATCCTGGAGAGAATCAAACAAGCCCTAGATGAAAAACTTCGTCCGGAACAGGCTGGATTCAGGAGAAACAAATCATGTATTGATCAAATCGCCACTCTACGGATCATCATTGAACAAAGCTTGGAATGGCAGTCACCTCTCTATCTCAACTTCATCGACTTTGAAAAGGCCTTCGACAGCGTCGATCGAGAGGTCATTTGGAAACTACTTCGCTACTACGGGGTCCCATCGACAATTATACATCTCATCCAACAGTTATACGACAATGCTGCATGCCAAGTAATCCACAACGGGAAACTTACGGAAGCCTTCGAAGTGAGGACGGGAGTGAGGCAAGGCTGTCTACTATCACCAATGATCTTCCTGATTGCAATTGATTGGATAATGCGACAGACAACGGCAACCAACGAGGGAACAGGCATAAAATGGACTGACACAAAAGACTTGGAGGATCTGGATTTCGCCGATGATATATGTCTGATTTCCCATAAACTGGAAGATATGCAAGTGAAAAGCAACAAGTTGGCAGAAGAAACATCAAAGATAGGACTTCAGGTGAACACAGAGAAAACAGAGTTGATGAGGATTCCTGGCCAACACCAACAGGAACAACAACAATCAGCATAAATGGGAGCAACCTGAAAGAAAAAACCTCCTTTACCTACCTGGGAATCATCCTTTCAACTACAGGCGGAACCGACGAGGATATCAACGCAAGAATCGGAAAAGCAAGGCAAGCTTTTATTACTCTTAAGTTTGTGTGGAGGTCATCAGAACTCAGAATCAAAAATAACATCCGGATTTTCAACTCCAATGTAAAGTCAGTGCTACTATACGGATCAGAGACTTGGCGCGTCATAAAGAGCATCTCAAACAAACTACAGACCTTCATCAACAGCTGTCTTCGCTCAATACTCCAGATCAGATGGCCAGAAAAGATCAGCAACAGGGATCTCTGGCAATTAGTGAACCAACCCAGCAGGAACCGATTGTGAAACAAATAGGTACGAAGAAATGAAGGTGGATTGGCCATACTCTGAGGAAACCATCAAGTGACATCACTAGACAAGCCATTGCTCGAGTGGGACCCGAAAGGGAAGCGGTGAGTTGGTCGTCCAAGGGTGTGACTTGGAGGAGGTCATGTGAAGGGGAGATGAAAGCATGTGGGTAGACTTGGAGCCAGGTGAAAACTTTGACAGAGAACCAAACGCAATGGAGACACGCGACTGAAGCCGTATGTTCCTCTAGGAATTGAAGGATATAATAATAATAATTTAATGAATTCATGACATTTCTGCCAGTTTCAGAAGAATGCTCTACATATTTTGTTGTCATATGAAGTACACAGAAAAGTGTAAAAAATATGTCAAATGAACACTACTTACGTTAAATTGGGATAATAACAGTCTACCTATATTTATCCTTATTGTTGTTTGCTATTGTTCTCCCTTAATATTGGCGGCTTAAACAGACACTATTATAGTGCATAACATTTCATTTGGATATTCGGTTTATGTTTAGTAACAATAAAATTCATAGTCATTGTTTCATCATGTTAGAAAGTTTTCAGTGAGATTTATTTGCATCTCAACCAGTAATCGTATTCACATAATTCAGAATCCTTCTACAAATACGCTGAAGTTTAAAAATGTTGGTGTTGCGCTCTTAGAAAGTATATCGCCAACTTCTATGACAAGTTTGCAAATCAACAACCTCACATAGTGTGAAGCACATCACTACTCCTACTACTAATGTGTATAAATGTGTGAACACCTTGAAAAAATAATTCTCTTCGTAAAAATATTCATTCGAGAAATGTAATTTCGCAAAAAAAACATGCATCATATTCAGAAAAATAATATGTGATCATTATTCCGTTATTTATTTTTATTTATTTTTTACTTTATTTATTTATTATTTTTATTATTATTATGATCATTTATTTTTATTATTTTTTATTTATTTATTAGCAAGCCGGCTTTCCAATACCTTCAGAATTGGATGAAATTCTACCACAATTGGACAATTTAGCTGCTCAAGAATTATTACACGAACTTTTGGGTCAAAGAAAGTGAGTTATTGATCTCTTTCCATACTTAGGAAGCCTAATAATTGTGTAGTCGAAGTCTTGTGTCATGCCCCCGGATAGATAATGCCTTTGTATTATACTAGCCCAACCTCTACATCACATTGATGGAGCTAGTTTATCTTTGAAACCTGCGAACTGTGGTTGTTAGTAGTTTCATATTAGTTTGTTTATTAGATGCATCACATAGTGAAACAGTATTATTTACTGGATGACATTTCGAACAAAATTAATTGTTCATAATCATATCAATTGTAATCACACGAATTTGAAACTTGAGTTTTACAGTTTTCTCCTATTTGTCGTAGGGGTGTTAGTATAATTTTCCAGATGTCTGGGACAGGTGTTGAATCATTCCTATTACACGTATTTGCAGTTGATTCGATAAACAAAGCTTTTGTTATCAGTCTCTCCCTCCAGGCAGGCTTTAGACCAGGAAGAGGGTGTATTGATCTTATCTTCACCCTCCAACAGATTCTAGAACATAGTCATTCCTACCTGCGTCCAACAGTCATTATATTTCTTGACCTATAGGCGGAATTCGACTCTGTCGACCGAGAAGTTCTCTGCAGATACTTGGCTGTAAAGCGAATGCCGAGAAAATACATTGCACTGATTAAGGCACTCTACTCGTACTCATACAGCCAGGTGGGGGCTTACGGGCGAGTTGTCATCTGAACTGGTGACGACTAGTGGTGTCCGTCAAGGATGCCCATTATCCCCTTTTCTATTCAACTGCATCATAGGTGTACTAATGGACTTAACCCTAACTCACTTCATCGACTCAAGGATTGACTTGATACCAGGGAATAATCTCGTTGACTTAGAATATGCAGACGATGTAGTCCTACTAGGCGAGGACGCTGACAAAATGCAGGGTCTTCTAAACACCTTGGGCTGCAATCTACGAATTTTTGGCATGCGATTCGCTCCCGCTAAATACAAGATGATGTTGCAGGACTGGACTACACCGACTCCTAGTTTAAAATTAGGAAGTGAAGTGGTAGAGCACGTTGACCGCTTCACTTATTTGGGAAGTATCATCAGCCAGTGCCAACGGGTTGATCTCTGACGAAATCCCAGCACGGATACAGGGGGCTCGTTTCGCATTTGTCAGTTTACGCCGACTCTGGCATAGACGAGATGTTCGACTGTCGACCAAAGGGGGGTGTACTGCTCATCAGCCCGTTCCGTCCTCCTTTATGACTGCGAGACCTGGCCACTGAGAGTGGAAGACATGAAAAGACTAGCTGTCTTTGATCATAGGTGCCTGCGCTCTATTTCCCATGTGAAGTCGCATAATAAGGTAAGCAATATCGAGGTTAGGCGTCGGTCGAGTTCTAGGTAAACAGGGGAAATCAATCGACGAAGTCGTGAAGTTACAAAGACTGAGATGGTTAGGGCATGTGTTACGTATGCCAAGTCATCGCCTTCCTCGACGAGCAATGTTAGCGGATATAGGGTCAGGCTGGAAAAAAAGCTAGCGGCGGTCAAACAAAAACTTGGCACCAGTCAGTGAAATCCACAACAGTTAGTTTAAGCCACGTAGGAATGTGTAGACTTCCAGGCTGGGGTCCTTGGGCGGTAAAAATCAAAGGCTGGAAACAGTTGGTGACATGGCTCAAAATCGTTCTCAGTGGCGCAGATGCATCCACTCCTTGTGACTTACGATTTCCAATTAAACTGTTTTGTTCTTCGTTAGTACTCCTCCTTTGTCTCACACCTCTGCCTACTGTCTCTATTATGCTTTCCTTGTACTTTCTTCTCTTGCTTTGTGTGCTAAACGGAGTGTGGCGACTTGAACTGCCGCACATATGTGCAAAGTTCTATGTCGAAAACAGACAGACATTAGATTTTAAAACTGTCATCCTATTGTATGGTTGTGTGTAACTGTATGTAGTGCTATAGTTGAACTATTCTCTAGATTTCTTATCTTATTCGGGTCAACCAATCTAGATTTTGCTAGGTTTTTATGTTCGCCTAGTCTGACTGCCCCTGTTCTACTAGTTTGACGTATGTATTTGACCTGACAATCATTCCGGTAGGGTATTAGATAAACTAAATTGTTTTGTTTTAAAGGCTCCACAGGATTGATCCTTTAACCGACAAAGCTTGTTTCTAATTGAGTTTGTGGGTTTGAATGCCAGCCACTTTTATTCCTGCCTTGTTAAGAATTCTGTGTAAGGTTCCTGAGGTTCCTTCCTTGTATGCAATTACTACTGATGATTTAGGTTCCTTATTGTTGGTGTTGTCAATATCTTGTTCGTGTTTGACATGCATATGGTCATTTAGCATTCGTATTATTATTATTATTACCACTATCACGATTATTAATTTCACTTCTACACCTTTCTACATAATTTTTGATTAATTTATCCGGGTAATTATTAAGTTTCAAGGCTTCTTTTATGTGTATCACTTCCTGTCTTAGATTTTCCTTGGTACTACTTAGTTTTTGTGCTCTGTCATTTAAACATTTCACTAATCCTATTTTTACTGACATAGGATGGGATGATCGGAAGTCCAAATATCTGTTTGAATGTGTGGGTTTCCTGTAAACACTAGTGCTTAACTTCCCATCTTCTTTCTTTTCTACGTTGCAATCTAACATTGGGAGCTCCCCTTCCTGACTTTCCAATTCATAAGTCAATTGAATTGTCTCTACCTACTTTCGAGTTGATATGTTCGAAAAATCTATCTATATCTTGTGTTCTAAGTACAGCGAATGTGTCATCTACATACCTCCACCATACTTTTGGGCTGGGGGTGAACGTTTCAGTTGCTAAGTTTTCCCAGTTATGTACGAATATATCTGCCACAAGCAGCGACTAGCGGAACATAAAAAGCTAGGAAAATCTAGATTGGTTGACCCGAATGAGATAAGAAATCTAGAGAATAGTTCAACTATAGCACTACATACAGTTACACACAACCATACAATAGGATGACAGTTTTAAAATATAATGTCACATTGTGGAGGGAGAGGTTGATAGCAGAAGCTTTGTTTATCGAATCAACTGTAATTACATGTAATAAGAATGATTCAGCAACTGACCCAGACATCTGGAAAATTATACTAACACCCCTACGACAAATAGGAGAAAACTGTAAAACTCAAGTTTCAAATTCGTGTGATTATAATTGATATGATTATGAGCAATAAATTTTGTTGGAAACGTCAACCAGGAAATAATACTGTTGCATTGTGCGATACATGTTATTCATAAAGTAATGTGGTTAAGCCTGATTTTTTCAGTAAATTCAGTATTCCATTGTAATGGTGAACCGCAATGGTTGTGGTAGCCGTAGGATTTATTGGCAGGATGGTGTACGGTGATTGGAAAATGCACAGCCTTATGTTAAAATTTCAGTTGTTGATATTCTCTTTTTTGGTGTTCATATGGTGATTTCTGTGTATTTTCACTAGGGATTTCTTTTGTTCACAATATAATTCTTCTCTCTTCAACTCAAGATTCTTGCGAAGGATCTCACCCAATCATAGTGTTTGCAGATTCTTGTCAGTAGTACATGCTGCACCGTCATATAGTTCGTACGATACAAAAATCATTAGCATCAGGTACTGACATAATGTGAATAACCTACTCTGTAATGAAGTTTTGACTTGGGATTTGTACGGATACGAAGAATAATATGATGGCTTCAAGTTGTTTTCTTTAGACAACCAGAAAGCTTTGAAGGCGAGTTAAAGTGTTTGTTTACATACTGCCCTTGGGATCTTGATACTTTTAAATAGATGTTGGAAGACATGTCTTAAGCAGACTTCCTCTGGTCACCGCAGTTACGGTAACTCACTTCTTTCTTTGCCCAAATGCTTTAATCAGACAAGTGTTCACGGTGTATGTAACTGAGAATTGTCCACTGCTTTCATATTTGCTACCTATTGAATATTCTTCATTGAGTAAATGCTCTAGTTAGGCTTAATTTTTCATACTCAGCATAAAGTTCTATTTAGAATCTGCTTTTTTCAATAGTTGATTTGTGAGGGCTGTGTTATGTACTAGTTTCCCCGTCGCCAAATTGTTATGTACTCGTCGCTAAGTTATTGTTATGGACTGGTCGAGAATTTAATAGTCCTGACGCAAGAAGGCGGAAATCAGAAGACCACTAGGTTTTCGATGATACTTCTATTTTCCGAACACCAGGAGAAGCAATCAGTGGTATCACACCAAAGTGTGTAAGTAAGTGTAAGTCCACAAGATTGTGAATGCAATATATATATATATATATATATATATATGAATGTTCAGACAAAGGTGTGAACAATCATTGGACAGTCTTAACATGAATGGCTAATTATAATGAAGTATCGGTCCATATATACATAGCGAAATATAGCAGACATGTCAACAACCACCATATATAGATATATGTCACCAAGCAACGGACTGTCAACAAACACTCATATTATATATAATATAATGGGAATATACATTGTTAAAGGAGACAGGTTCATACAAGTGAAATGGTCACAGACTAAGCGAGCAAACAGAAAGAGAGACCAACATACACACACACGTAAATATATATATGTGGATACATATCAGGTAGACCCTTCCATTTTTACAAATTTGGTATCACAACAGGAAATGCAAAAAATATGAGCTGGGAGTTTTAGGCATTGAAGTTTCTTTGAATTGATTTTCTTAGCCTTCTGGTTGCCACTTCACTGTGTGTTACCTTCAAGATTCAATCGCATATTGAATAGTGTTTTATCAAATGAAAAAAACTTCTTTCGACTTTTGTAGTTATATGTTTTCTTATGAAGTTTTTGTGATAACTCTTTTCAATTAAGGTGCCAAAATATCGCCTTAATCTCATCCTGAATCACATCTTCCGAACATATAGCTCTCATCCTATAGCTTTATTAAATTTCGTTGATACTGTACAGAAGAAGAATATTCTTCGTTCAATAATCAGCGTTTTTAAATTTATAACGTACATCTTGAATCAATTTTATGTTCTTTAGCCATCCTTTATTTCCTCTAATGAATGTATTTTACCGTTACTTAAAATTATAAGTGTAGTAGTTAATGTTTCTTTAAAAAGCTTGTGTTAACAACTTTTTGGTCATTTGCTTACACATGTACATGTAGCGTTATATAAATTGTGAATAAGTCAAATGGTAATCCATCCTAAAGTTACGCATAATACTTAATTTATAAGAAGATATTCTTGTTACAAATGAAAAAAAAAGTTACATCTTTTAAGGAGTGGTCAGGTGATCGCTTCTACAGGGCTTATGTGCGATCCTTATTCACTATCTTTTGTAAACTTCAAAAGTACCTCAAACTTATGCCGAGTTCATTCTGTTCACTTGCTTATTGTGTTTATTTCATCCAACTTCAATGACCTACACCACTTTATGATTAGTATCCTAAACCTTTAAACTTGAACAACATTGAATTGAGTTTGACGTACTGACTGATTGAGTTTTCAGCGCAGATTCTTTTACGAAATAGCACCAGTTTAAGTTATCACAACCCAATAGCACTTAAAGGAAGCAAAAAAAACTCAAAGGAACCGTAACATACAGGAGTAAGAAGGAATGCATGAAGAATAGTCAGAATTTAATAGATCTGCGAGATTACAGAGAGAGTGAAAGCATCTGCGCCATTGAGAAAAAATTCGACCTGTATCACCAATAATCTTCAGCCATTGATTGTTAACGTCTTGAGGATCACATCCAAGCAGTCTACACATCCCTGCACGACTCAAACAAACCGTCTGAGTTCTTATGTATTGAATCCCATATTATTGTCTTACTACCCCTTGGTTTTCTGAAGTAGTCCTTTGTCAGCTTATATTGTCTGATGTGGAAGGTTGATGCCTTGGCATGTTTGACGTGTGCCCTAACCGCCACAATGGATACAGCTTCAAAACATCATGGGTTGATTTCTCCCCATTTCCTAACAACATTCCTATCCTCGCCTTGGTTGAGGAGTAGCAGTGTGATTATTTGTCATGTCTTTCTGGCTGTGGTTGCTATTAATAGGGACAAAGTTAAGGGAAGACTGAAAATCCACTTGTGAAATAGTTTTAATGGCGACAAGAAAGCAAGAAGATGAAGGTGAGTGAGGATTAAGTGAGCTGCTCGTTCATATAAAAATGTGTGGGCTGTTATAACCGCCCGACTACCCATTTCGTGAAAGTTGGTCTCTCCTGGAAATACCTGATACAGATGGTGCATAACCGCAGAGCTCAGGAGACGAATGATTCAGGCCAGTCACACATTACCTGTTTGAAGTGGTTTTTAAGTTGTATCCGTATTGTGATCTTACCACCACAAAGTATGGGATATTCAATTTTCGAGGTCTTCTCCCACTGACCCTCCTCCTCAAAGTGGATAGGCTCTCTGGTCATCCGAGCGGAACACTTTGTCGCTGTTAAATCCGTTTCCGCCAGCAGTGCGACTTCGTCCTCACACCTCCATCATAGTATGAGTGACTTCGAATTATCGTGGTAATTGTTTTAAGTCTAACGACTATCCAGTCAACCTTTCCGTCCTGATAAGAACTGCTGGAACATTCGTTTCAACCAGTATAGCTGTTTGAATTATTGTGATGTGCAAGCCCGACCACGGAGTCAAATAGGTCGACCACATAAACTCTTGGAAGGAAATTGACAATATTCTCTCAATTTGCAATCTAAGATTTCAAATCTTTAAATATTCCCATTTATAGTGAGAATGTAAGAGATCTGAGAGATTACAGAGAGAATGAAAGCATCTGCGCCATTGAGAAAAAATTCGACCTGTGTCACCAATAATCTTCAGCCATTGATTGTTAACGTCTTGAGGATCACATTCTATAAATTTAGTTGCTCCTGTGGAGAAAGCTATATAGGCCGAACAACTAGACAGCTTAACAAACGCATTAATGAGCATCTTCCTTCACGGCTCGGAGAAGGTCAAATAAAATCCATACGAAGTTCTATTTTGGCTCATTTAATTCATAGTGGTCACCAAGTGGACAAAAATAGTGCCTTCAGAGTTATTTACCGCATTCCATCGAGTCTTTCGAACGGAATCAGAACCCGTCTTTTACACTTTGCTGAAGCTATGGGAATTCGAGAGAACAATCCTAGTCTTTGTATACAAAAGAAATTTGTTCTACATTTGTCTCTCCCTTGGCCTAGGTGAATTCTATTCAAAACCCTCCCACCCTTTCTTATCATCCATCTCCTTCGTACTTTTGTGATATATATTTAAATTCTGATTATCGTTCCATTTTACCTTTTAAGATTTGACCTAATTTATTTATTTATTGAATTGTCTACATATACTCATATATGCATATACTATCTTTGTTATTCTTATCACGTGTATAATCCTTATTATCAATATTTTGTTATCATTATAATCATCGTTATTAACTTCGTTCAAAACATTTACCACATTATTATTATGATTATTATTTGATGCACAAAATCACCGTTATTGGTTGAAATTTTCTGCATATAAGTCTATGTAAATTAGAGTAAAGCCTGAAGAAGATCTAATTGAAAACAATATTGTTCGCTTATAAGTCTTCGCTGCAATTGTCTTCTTAAGTCTGAGATTTGTTAAGTGGTGGCTAGTAGCATGGTTTAGCGTGGAAGTTTCGTTTTATTTACTAACTGCTTACTCTTCATAGCAGGTTGTTTTTCCTGATATAGGCACTCAAAACCTATTCAATAAATCTCAGCTCCCACAATCACTATGCATGACATAGAGTTCGGGCTTTTCTATTGTTGATTTAGAGGTGATTTAATATATGATTTGGTGCTTGTGAAATATAAAAATAGTACAGTTACATAAAGGTGATGAATACAATAAGCGACTGTCTTTCAAGCAGAAGCATATGGAAAATAATATTCTCTGTTATTTTTCATAAACCATTTTTTATTATGTGCTTATTATAAGGTTGTTTAAATGAGTTTACTTGTTTATTCATTAACTCTTGTGACCGTCTCAAAGACAGGTATCACTTAGATATCGAAGGTACTCTATGGATTGGAAATACTGTTTTGTGATGTCTTTCCATAAAATGTATAAAATTAATATCGAAGTAGTTACTATTGGTGGATAAACTAGTTGTTGGGGGTGTCAGAGTTTAGGCTCACTGTTGTCTGAAGTGGGCGTGACCACTGTAGGGTGTACTAAACCAATTGTGCAACTTTCGAATTTTTGAAGAAGAGTATATTAAGGGCAGTCTACAATTATGTACACATCAATGTGCCCTACTGGTGTTCGTCATTGGTGTTAGCTTTCTTTAGGTACACATCCATTAGAGAAATAACGAACTCATTCAAGTTAACTCCATGTAGCTTGCTTTAGACAGATGTAGTGTGATGTATATAGCCACACAAAACTGTTTTTGTTTCCTTCTAACCCTACGAGTAGCTGTCAACTTTCACAGTGTGAGTAACCGAAAATAGAAAACTATAGATGCACTCTTTTCATCACTTGAAAGTGTATTTATTGGCAATATTTTTTAGCAACACATTACACCCAGTATTTTTTCTTACTTTGTGTCTACAGAGATTGGGAGAAAAATGTTCATATTGTATTCGGTGATTTATTCTCGCTAATTCTGTCTAATATGATAAACTACCAGAAGTAAGCATTATTTCGTTCATAATACTTGTTTTTTATAGAGAATGTTTGTTTTTAAATATTTCTGATTCGGTGATCTTGTGATTGATTAACAGATGTCATAATTTTAATTGGTCATTATTTGATAAGTTTATTTGATATAACACACACAGATACAGATACAGTATCAATGACTAGATGACGTTTACAGCATTATCATGAGCAGTAAGTTGTGCTCGAAACATTATCTAGTTATAATAAATAAACTCCAATAGAACTTCAAAATTTTTAAAATCACGACATATATATATATATCTGTGTTTTGTATGCATCATTACTCATTCTATTACATCTTTTATTCATGCATAAAGGAAACCTACATCCCAGTTGCTTAACTATTTCGATATAAGATTTAATAGTGTGAAATATTCCCATATTATGAATTAAAAGTCAATCTGAACGAAGAATATTCTTTTCAATATTTTCTCTTCAGGTTCTTACAATTATAAAGTATAATATTTGTGGTCGTTACAATAAAGGCCAGCTATGCAGCGGATACATTTTTAACGTAGAATAGCAGATTAGTTATGGGGTGTCAAGGTAAATAGTCGTATTTGTGTGACAAACGTTCTAGGCTGAAATCGATTAGAAATATTGTAAAACGGGAGACAATGATGGTGATTTTTTAATCATAATAGATTTGTAGAGTGTGGGGTAAGAAAATTGACAAATCAGTTCAAGGCTATCGAAGGTGTCAGGTGAATGGCTAGTACAAAGTGGTCTGTCTTAAACAGTTGAGATAGTAAGACTGGAATGAGAGGTTCATAGTGAGATAACGAATATGTTAAATGAAACAGGTGGAGGCATATATTACAATATATGCCTCCACCTGTTTCATTTAACATATTCGTTATCTCACTATGAACCTCTCATTCCAGTCTTACTATCTCTTCTGTTTAAGACAGACCACTTTGTACTAGCCATTCACCTGACACCTTCGATAGCCTTGAACTGATTTGTCAATTTTCTTACCCCACACTCTACAAATCTATTATTTTTGATTAATCACCATCATTGTCTCCCGTTTTACAATATTTCTAATCGATTTCAGCCTAGAACGTTTGTCACACAAATACGACTATTTACCTTGACACCCCATAACTAATCTGCTATTCTACGTTAAAAATGTATCCGCTGCATAGCTGGCCTTTATTGTAACGACCACAAATATTATACTTTATAATTGTAAGAACCTGAAGAGAAAATATTGAAAAGAATATTCTTCGTTCAGATTGACTTTTATTTCAATATAGAAAAAATTCCACGTTTAGAAAGCAAAAAGATTGAACGAAGAAATATTTAATTCTCAATTAGATCCTCATCTGTGGCTCTACTCCAATATATGTATATTTTTTTTCCTGCACGTTCCCAGTGGAACATAGGGCTTCAAGCTAGTGGCTTGAAGTATCAGTAGCAGTATTTATTTTTAGAGGATGGGTTCGCTAGCCTCATGCCCAACCTTTCTTCTTTACCAGCATTATTTCTGGAAAGGTAAAGGAGTGCGTCGTCCGGGTATCGAACCCCGGGCCATGTGCATGGTCGGCGAGCGCCCTAACCGCTGTGCCACCGACGCACTATATATATATATATATATATATATATATATATATATATATATAGTAGAGTCAGGGATGAGGATCGAATTGAAAAGTAAATATTTCTTCGTTCAATCCTTTTGCTTTATGAATGCTTAACTATTGTTTGACATTTGTTTTCAGTCTGTTCACTGATTAATCAGTTTACTCCTAAAGTCATAAATAAAAGGAGTACTAAAAGACAAAATATTTTAATTAAGTTAACTCTGTTTTCAAAAAAATCCATGTGAGTATTTAATTTGAATCCAAAACATAATGTAAATCATTAAAACATTGTGAAAATGGAATATACGGGCTTAAAACTGTCATACTGTTAAGAATTAAACATGTCAGAGATATAAATTGACCGTTGATGATTTGTTTTACCAGTTATTTACATATGAAGACAAGATATTACAGTAGCAATTTATTTTTGTGTAATATAACGTGAACGATATAATTTAAAGTGTTTTAAAAGCTGTAATGTACATCAATGGATTGTTTGCATTGAAATGTTTAAAATCTCTTCAAACACAATGAAACTAGAATAGGTGATTTATAAATTAAGTGAATTGTATAATATGAAAAAAGCAATCTCTGAAACAGCTGTAAACATTTTTAAATCAAGGAGTGGATACCTGGGTGCTGTTTAAAACTGTCTTGGTGCATGTGGTGTATATCTTCTACTAGAAAAACGTTAATATTACTATAAAAGAACACATGATTATGAAATTAATCTCGCGAGGTGATATCATTTAGCAGTTACTCTGCAATCGCTTTACAACTAGCATGGTTCACAATGATAATAAAATAAAATGCATGACAATTACTCAGTTATATAAAATAAAAGTATGTACTAATGACCATTCATATTTAAATAGGTCAAACAGTCCATGGTAGGTGAAGGTTGAAGTCTACTATTTTTTTTGTAAACATAGTTTAGTATGTGTGTGAATATTCCTCCAATCCTTCTATCACATTTAATAACCAACATTGAATTAGAGTTATGTGAAATAGTTGTGAAACAGTCATTAATATTGATTTTGTGACCTGACCTTAATTATTGCTTTGCAATGGATAATGATGGATTTCTGTTCAGATTAATTTCATTGGAATTTTTTATGTTTTAATAACTATTTTGGAACATCACATACATCCTAAACTATGCGTACAAACGACAATAGACTTCAACCATCGCCTACCATGGACTACTTGACCTACTTAAATATGATTGGTCATTATTATGTACTTTTATTTTATATAACTGAGTAATTGTCATGCATTTTATTTTATAATTATTGTGAACCATACTAGTTGTAAAGCGACTGTAAACAAACTGCGAAATGATATCATCTCGAGAATTCTTTTCTTCCAAATGCCTTATTTTAAATCTATCAAAAGGAACAATTGTTTTAGGGTAATTAAAAGGTTAACGGAGCATTAGTTGTGAAGTCTTTTTGCAGTTTTAATTACTGCGTAGTGGTTAAAGTGTATTAGTGTTAACGAAGATAATTTATCTGCTGGTCATATATCGAGTTTTTAAGACGTAATTAGTTGGTGAAATGAATAATATTTCTTAATATATGTGGTCCTCTACCCTGTTTATTTGAAGAAATAGTGTGCGTCTACCAATAGTTGTGAAGTGATGTAGTGCTAAGTGTATTTATTTTACAAATCCTAATTAAGTCATACAAAAGGAGAGACGTTCAGCGAAAAGTTACTCTTTCAGTGATATAATTCTCAAGTTGTACACTTTGATAGAAACTAAAATACAATAAAACGTTTTGATTAGGTTCTACTTAGAGAGACAAATACATAAACATAAATCTTCACGTGAAACAGGATCACTTTAAGTTTCACTAACTTATGCAGTAACTGGAAGCAGAAAAACCAAAGTAACAGATGATAATGTGTCATACTTCAAAACCGGACTCCGGTCACCGGCTGCCAATGGATAGTGGACTCCCTACTCCACTCCTACTGCCTTGTAGGTTGTGTAAAGGCTAGAAGCTGCACTCTCAAACAAAAGGCCGAGCGATTCTGGGGACATCACTCGTACCTAATTCCCATGAAACTTCATGAAGTCTCTACAACATCAACCAAATTCCAGTACTGGTCCAACAACGTCGCCTTCGGTGGTTTGGCCATGTTCTGCGCCGACCAGATGACGATCTGGCCAAATCAGCCCTAAATCCCTCGCCATTTCCATCGTGGCGATGTCGCAGGGGTGAACAGCTGAAAACATGGCTTGATACAGTCAAGGCTGATATGGAGTGCCTGGGGCTACAAACCGTCTACGGACTCGGTCTGTGGAACAAGAATGGGATAATTCTGTCGCAAAACCTTGCATCAGATCGCCGCGCCTGGGCAGTGATGATTCGAGATGTTCATGAAGCCGGCTCATCCTCCCGTAGGAGATAGCCGAAGTAAAGTAAAGTAAAACTATACTTCAAAAATCATAATGCTTAATATCATCTGGATTTATCATTGTTTTAATCGTCCAGTTAGATCAAATGACCTATACATAAACTTTCGCGATGATATAACTTGCTCCCAAGTAAACGCTGTACAATTCTTCAACGAAATGAAGATATACTTCAGATTATTAATTTACATGTGAATCCTGTGTGAAGAAAAAAGTACTTTAGAGAGGAATACGCTGAAAATTTTTGTACCGTATATTTGCATACTGTCTTAAATAAAGCTTTACCATTGATAAAAAAAAAACTTTGTAAAGAGCCTTCTTAGTTCTAGTTGCTTATTTATATCAAGCCACGAGAATATTCTCACGATTTCTCAACATTCCCCGACTGCTGCTTTGCTAATTTTGTGATCATTAAATACTTACTCTCTTTGAATTATTGGTCCAACGCAATATCGACTATCTCATCCAGTTTCAGTCTTCGTGAAGCTACGTCAATTCAGATACCTGATTGTTTCCAGTGTCTTGGATCACTGGTGGTGTTCATTTTGGCGTGCTACACCGATTACATCGAAACACAGTGCTGCAGGTTTTCAATTAGTTTCATACACAACAAAACTTCTGATTTATTTATGTTAATATCCACGAGACAAGTAAATTTTCAAGCTTTCCTAACATTCCTGAAACACTATTACTAATGCTGTATTCTTCTTACACATATGTTATGAATCGATTCAGTTCGTTTCTCAGTACCCCTCTTCTCCAGCCACTAGCAAATATTCTAATTTTCTCCCTCTATGCATGTCACATATCCAACATATATGAAGACCGAATTCAATGGCTGTCCCATTGACATAATCTACACTTGTTCAAATAGTTTCATTCACAATAATTCTGCTGATTTCCATCTTCTAATATCCAAGCAACGTGAATGTCCTCCGTACCTTTAAGCTTTTGTGAACCGCTGTTGTGTTGATTTGTTAATCTAATGTTTATGGGTGTAGATGCATGTGTCTGCGTAATTATGGTACTTGAAAAGAACATAGAGGTGACTCTAATGGAAAATGAAGTCAATCAGCATGCCCAAGTAAAGTAAAATCGCCACAAGTTTTATCTATAACTAACGAAAACAGTATATAAGACTCAAAACGGGTAGACAGATGAAAAATTCTTTAAGACGGTAAATATCAAAGTTTCAAACACGAATTACCTGTGAATAGAATCTAGAGACCAGTACACTAACTCATGTCAGTTTAAAGTTTACAACGACGACTTATTAACTTTCGGAATATGTTATTTTTAGTTCCAATTTATGCCATTTTTATACCACTCCCAAATTTTTTATACATTTTGCCAGAAACGAATATGCTACCCAGAGTCTGGCACAATCTGTTACAAGAATAGCCATTGCCTTTGAAAACACTTCAGGAGCATTGAAAACATTTATTTCCCGATACGAATTTAAAACAAGCAATAAAGGTTAATAAAGCAGGATTTAATGAATTCATCAAATTTCGGTAGAACTCGTCAGCTGAATACTCTACATACACGGATACATATACTTTTGAAATTACATTGGGAGATATAAGACTGATAAATAAACTACATTGAATTAATCATGCAGAAAGACACGTGCGAATGTTTTACAGGTCATGTTCAAATAGATAAGGCGAGAGAGAGTATGAGAGATCAAAATTAAGATAAATTGCATTACGCTTCAATTACATCACTTAGATAAACAATTAGTCATTAGGGAATATAACGATAATTGTAAACAGACTAATATCAATAGTAATAGTTATAATAACAATTTTAATAGTGTTGAAGTGAGTTAAGATAATCTTGATAAAGCATAGTTTTAAATGAATCAAGAATAAAAATAATGATAATAAAAATAACAATAATAATAATAAGAAGAGGTAGAATAGTAGTAATAACAAGTAGAGAATAATAAGTAAAACGTATTACCATGGTAGATTCAGAGTGACCACCATCTCCTTTTGCATACAGAGAGCTGGTTTGTAAATTCGAATTGCACAAGCCTCTGCAATTGCAAGCATCTTCTTGTTTCTTTGTTTACTGACAATGGTGAATGACTTGACCGCGTCGATGTCATGTCCGTAATCCACGAGATGTTTTGTTATTGAGGATTTTGGCACTTTGCATTCAGCTGTTTTCAACCATTTTGGCAAATGCTCCATCATGCGAGTAGACAATCGCCTTTCCGTACGACCTATGTATTTGCTGCCACAAACACACTCAAATTGATATATGCAGTTTGAAGTGTCGAGGATTGGCAACTGGTCTTTCCCAGATTGTTGAAGCACTCGCTTGGTGGTGTTAAGGATAACAAGTTTTGCAGCATAATAAGTTCTCTTGATGGCTTTGTCGAGTCTTCGTTTCACTACTTCCTGTACGTCATCTCCTTTGAACGGCAAATTGATATAGACAGGTTTCTTTGGAACTGTCTGAATTGTTTTGCAAGGGGTAGTTTTTATTAATGAACTTTTCAGGATATCCATTCTTCCATAAAATATCCTTCAGAGATTTTATTTCATGTTCAATAGTACTGTCAGAACAAATTTTTCGTGCTCTATTGAACAGTGTTCTGACTAAGTTCTTTTTGTACTGGATTGGAACAAAGCTCTTGAAATGCATGTACTGTCCTGTCCATGAAGACTTTCTAAATATAGATCTTTCGATCGTGCCATCATTCATTTTGGTTAGAAGAACGTCTAGAAATTTAATAGTATCGTTTTCCTCGTGTTCTACTGTGAAATTAAGATTTGGATGGCATGAATTGAAGTTTATCAACATGTCTTCCGCTTTTGATCTGCTTCCGCAGACAATAAAAATGTCATCAACATATCTTAGGTATGCATTTGTTTCTTGTATATGTTGCTGCAAAGTACCGGTTTCTAGGCGTGACAAGAATAAGTCTGCGAAAAGTGGTCCCAAAGGGCTTCCCATTGCGACACCATCAACTTGACGGAACAGACGCCCGTTGAATTGGAATTGGACATTTTTAGTACATAAAAGTAGTAATTTCCTCAATTCCGATGTTGGAATGGGTATGTCTTCAGCTTCTTTACATATGAAGTCGATAGTTTCAACGACTGGCACATTTGTGAAAAGGGAGGTGACATCGAAAGAGACCAAATGCTTATCGGATACATTGAAATCTTTAATTTGATTGGCAAATTGAAATGAATCAGAAACTATATGTGTTCCGAAGCGTTTCAGCAAGGGCTGCAACAGTTCACATAGCCACTGTGCTAATCTGTTGTATGGTGAGTTTATCATGGAGGGTATGGGTCTTAACGGCGCTCCTGGTTTGTGTATTTTTACGCGTCCGTATAGTTTTGGGATTTGTGACCCAATCGGTTTGATATTTCTATGTGTTTTCGTCAATGTATTTATTTTTGAAGAGTTGTAGATGCTGCACAATTTTCCTTTCGGTTGATAACGTTTGGTCTTTTGCATGGTTATCCAATTTGAATTTAGATCCATCAGAGAGAATTTGATTCATTTTTTCGAGATAATCTATCTTGTTCATTAGCACTACACTTTGTCCTTTATCAGCTTGTAAGATAACAAGATTTTTGTCTTTTCGGAGCTTGTTTTGACTTCAAGAGCAGCTAACACAGGATGTGTTTGTGAAAAAAAGATTGTTATCTTCATTTTTAACCTTCATTGAAAATGTTTTCTTAACTGGCATTTACACATTTACTTATATGCTGTTGATTTCAAGAAGAAATAATACACTATTAAGATTACCGATTTACTTATTTCGCACTGATGACAACTTTTGTCAGTAGTCTCATATCTGCTTATTATGAATTGTTTTAAAGACGAATTATACATTATTGTGTTTATATTTTATTTTTACTTACAACAGATTACCTCAGTTCCATCTGTATTCATGTCATGATTCTTCACTGATGTTATTATTATTTGGTTTGAGTGTATATGATGGATCTTGGCCACCGTTTTCAGCTGATTTAATATTTGAATTATACACAACTAAATCATCAACATTGCAGTTATCAAAGACATCACCTATCCTGCGTCCTGGTGATGCTTCACTAGCGTCAATAGATCATATATCTCCTGAAAATTTGAATAATTTATGGTTTCGCTTATTGTATCTTGGTAAGCCAATTCCATTGAAATCACTATGGAATTTATCTTATCCTAATGATTATAATATGATGAGCGATAACTCACTAGTACCATTGAAAGCATTGCATGAATACCTTGAAAAAGCTAGAAGAGCCAGTTGAAATTGCTAAAAATGATGATGTTTTTGATTTGTTTTATCTATACTCTCACAGCCTACAACTCATGTTAGCACAACTGTGAATTCATTTAATATTAGTATTACCTAAAACACTGTTAAACACTGAACACTTCATTTACGCACTACAAGATTAGTAGTGGCGGTGACGACAGTAATTGAATGAATTGAAAGAGAATATTTCTAGTTTTTCTTTTGACTTTTACCGTGTATATCGAAAAAGCGTGTATCCTTTTTAATGTGTATACCTGTTTGCTCTAAAATTATCATCATGAATATCGATGTACTGTATTATTTTATTACACATTATTCAAGATGTGTTTGCATACGCAAAATTCATTTTTGTCTTATGTGTTTTATAGAGTACTTTATAGATTGGAAGATTTTAATTATCGCATTTACATGAAACTTTAAAATAAGCAATACGTTTGAGAATATTTTATACATACACATTAGAACAACATGCGTAACACGTTCATTTTAGTTCGGGTTTTTCTTTCATCTAAAAATGCTTTCATTACTGAAACTCAACATGAGTTAGTCAGTTAGTTGATAAAATGTATTCACGTACTCACGTGCGTTACTCAAATATTGCGTTTTGATTTCACTGTCTCTTATTTTACTAACTATTACTTTTCTTATGTCTCTGTAAATGTGGATGTAAATATCATCCATATGTTATACACATTAACCCTAAGATATTGCAGCGTTTTTTTTAATTACTTAGCAGAGCCGAAGAACACGTCATTTTTACCCCTAAAACATACTAGCGTTTAGTTTGAACTAATCTCTTCAAATCGTGATTATCCTCAAATTAATTTTTTTAGATCAACTCGTCATTTTGATTATTATAAAATGTTTGGCCTCCTACCTATCTACTGTCAACCTTCTTATCTAATAATAACGTGAATTACGCCGTTACTACTAAAACTGTCATTTTTCATCCAGATAAGTATTATTCAACATCAGACTGGCAGATTCCATACGGATACCTTTATAAAATAGAGTACTGACAAAGTATTATTTCCTGGTTGACGTTTCCAACAAAATTTATTGCTCATAATCATATCAATTATAATCACACGAATTTGAAACTTGAGTTTTACAGTTTTCTCCTATTTGTCGTAGGGGTGTTAGTATAATTTTCCAGATGTCTGGGTCAGTTGCTGAATCATTCTTATTACATGTAATTACAGTTGATTCGATAAACAAAGCTTCTGCTATCAACCTCTCCCTCCACAATGTGACATTATATTTTAAAACTGTCATCCTATTGTATGGTTGTGTGTAACTGTATGTAGTGCTATAGTTGAACTATTCTCTAGATTTCTTATCTCATTCGGGTCAACCAATCTAGATTTTCCTAGCTTTTTATGTTCCGCTAGTCGCTGCTTGTGGCAGATATATTCGTACATAACTGGGAAAACTTAGCAACTGAAACGTTCACCCCCAGCCCAAAAGTATGGTGGAGGTATGTAGATGACACATTCGCTGTACTTAGAACACAAGATATAGATAGATTTTTCGAACATATCAACTCGAAAGTAGGTAGAGGCAATTCAATTGACTTATGAATTGGAAAGTCAGGAAGGGGAGCTCCCAATGTTAGATTGCAACGTAGAAAAGAAAGAAGATGGGAAGTTAAGCACTAGTGTTTACAGGAAACCCACACATTCAAACAGATATTTGGACTTCCGATCATCCCATCCTATGTCAGTAAAAATAGGATTAGTGAAATGTTTAAATGACAGAGCACAAAAACTAAGTAGTACCAAGGAAAATCTAAGACAGGAAGTGATACACATAAAAGAAGCCTTGAAACTTAATAATTACCCGGATAAATTAATCAAAAATTATGTAGAAAGGTGTAGAAGTGAAATTAATAATCGTGATAGTGGTAATAATAATAATAATACGAATGCTAAATGACCATATGCATGTCAAACACGAACAAGATATTGACAACACCAACAATAAGGAACCTAAATCATCAGTAGTAATTGCATACAAGGAAGGAACCTCAGGAACCTTACACAGAATTCTTAACAAGGCAGGAATAAAAGTGGCTGGCATTCAAACCCACAAACTCAATTAGAAACAAGCTTTGTCGGTTAAAGGATCAATCCTGTGGAGCCTTTAAAACAAAACAATTTAGTTTATCTAATACCCTACCGGAATGATTGTCAGGTCAAATACATACGTCAAACTAGTAGAACAGGGGCAGTCAGACTAGGCGAACATAAAAACCTAGCAAAATCTAGATTGGTTGACCCGAATAAGATAAGAAATCTAGAGAATAGTTCAACTATAGCACTACATACAGTTACACACAACCATACAATAGGATGACAGTTTTAAAATCTAATGTCTGTCTGTTTTCGACATAGAACTTTGCACATATGTGCGGCAGTTCAAGTCGCCACACTCCGTTTAGCACACAAAGCAAGAGAAGAAAGTACAAGGAAAGCATAATAGAGACAGTAGGCAGAGGTGTGAGACAAAGGAGGAGTACTAACGAAGAACAAAACAGTTTAATTGGAAATCGTAAGTCACAAGGAGTGGATGCATCTGCGCCACTGAGAACGATTTTGAGCCATGTCACCAACTGTTTCCAGCCTTTGATTTTTACCGCCCAAGGACCCCAGCCTGGAAGTCTACACATTCCTACGTGGCTTAAACTAACTGTTGTGGATTTCACTGACTGGTGCCAAGTTTTTGTTTGACCGCCGCTAGCTTTTTTTCCAGCCTGACCCTATATCCGCTAACATTGCTCGTCGAGGAAGGCGATGACTTGGCATACGTAACACATGCCCTAACCATCTCAGTCTTTGTAACTTCACGACTTCGTCGATTGATTTCCCCTGTTTACCTAGAACTCGACCGACGCCTAACCTCAATATTGCTTACCTTATTATGCGACTTCACACGGGAAATAGAGCGCAGGCACCTATGATCAAAGACAGCTAGTCTTTTCATGTCTTCCACTCTCAGTGGCCAGGTCTCGCAGTCATAAAGGAGGACGGAACGGGCTGATGAGCAGTACACCCCCCTTTGGTCGATAGTCGAAGTACGGGCACAATGTACACTTACATTAAAACGACAAAAATGTGGAAAGCCTAACCTGACAAAACCAGAGACAGAAGCCCTGAAACACCTTAAGAATAACAAGGATATAGTAATCACAAAGTCAGACAAAGGAAATGCAACAGTAGTATTAGACAAATCAGACTATTTGGACAAGGTAAATACTCACATACAAACAAGACCATATGGGGAAATTAATAAATCAATAGACACAGTTATGAATAAAGTTATGAAATCCACATCGGACCTTATACGTCTAATGAAGCCGTTTCTAGGTGAGTCTGAGGGGTTTGATTTAATGCCAAAAACTAATAACCCCAGTAGGATGTATGGTGTTGTTAAAGTTCACAAGTCAGGATGCCGTATTAGGCCTATAGTTGATTTTAGAAATTCACCTACTTATGAATTATCTAAATATTTAGCCATGGTATTAAATCCCCTAAAAGGCCACTCGAAATCTAGACTAACTAATTCTTATGAACTAAAACACAGATTAGATAATTTAAACCTAGATCATGAATAAAAAATGGTTAGTTTTGACATTGTCAGTTTATATACACGTATACCAATAAATATGGTTATAGAGGGAGTCAGAAACTAAATCATTTCTGACCAAGAACTCGGACTTAGGACAAAAGTGCCACTTGAGGAGATAATGCTGGGAGTGCAGCTATGCCTAACTTCCACAGTACTCACATTCCAAGGGAAAATATACAAACAAACTGAGGGAGTTGCCATGAGATCACCAATATCCCCGGTTGTGGCAGATATATTCAATGGATGGGAGGGAAAACATAGCGATTGAAACTTTCACCCCCAGCCCAAAAGTATGGTGAAGGTATGTAGATGACACATTCGCTGTACTTAGAACACAAGATATAGATAGATTTTTCGAACATATCAACTCGAAAGTAGGTAGAGGCAATTCAATTGACTTATGAATTGGAAAGTCAGGAAGGGGAGCTCCCAATGTTAGATTGCAACGTAGAAAAGAAAGAAGATGGGAAGTTAAGCACTAGTGTTTACAGGAAACCCACACATTCAAACAGATATTTGGACTTCCGATCATCCCATCCTATGTCAGTAAAAATAGGATTAGTGAAATGTTTAAATGACAGAGCACAAAAACTAAGTAGTACCAAGGAAAATCTAAGACAGGAAGTGATACACATAAAAGAAGCCTTGAAACTTAATAATTACCCGGATAAATTAATCAAAAATTATGTAGAAAGGTGTAGAAGTGAAATTAATAATCGTGATAGTGGTAATAATAATAATAATACGAATGCTAAATGACCATATGCATGTCAAACACGAACAAGATATTGACAACACCAACAATAAGGAACCTAAATCATCAGTAGTAATTGCATACAAGGAAGGAACCTCAGGAACCTTACACAGAATTCTTAACAAGGCAGGAATAAAAGTGGCTGGCATTCAAACCCACAAACTCAATTAGAAACAAGCTTTGTCGGTTAAAGGATCAATCCTGTGGAGCCTTTAAAACAAAACAATTTAGTTTATCTAATACCCTACCGGAATGATTGTCAGGTCAAATACATACGTCAAACTAGTAGAACAGGGGCAGTCAGACTAGGCGAACATAAAAACCTAGCAAAATCTAGATTGGTTGACCCGAATAAGATAAGAAATCTAGAGAATAGTTCAACTATAGCACTACATACAGTTACACACAACCATACAATAGGATGACAGTTTTAAAATCTAATGTCTGTCTGTTTTCGACATAGAACTTTGCACATATGTGCGGCAGTTCAAGTCGCCACACTCCGTTTAGCACACAAAGCAAGAGAAGAAAGTACAAGGAAAGCATAATAGAGACAGTAGGCAGAGGTGTGAGACAAAGGAGGAGTACTAACGAAGAACAAAACAGTTTAATTGGAAATCGTAAGTCACAAGGAGTGGATGCATCTGCGCCACTGAGAACGATTTTGAGCCATGTCACCAACTGTTTCCAGCCTTTGATTTTTACCGCCCAAGGACCCCAGCCTGGAAGTCTACACATTCCTACGTGGCTTAAACTAACTGTTGTGGATTTCACTGACTGGTGCCAAGTTTTTGTTTGACCGCCGCTAGCTTTTTTTCCAGCCTGACCCTATATCCGCTAACATTGCTCGTCGAGGAAGGCGATGACTTGGCATACGTAACACATGTCCTAACCATCTCAGTCTTTGTAACTTCACGACTTCGTCGATTGATTTCCCCTGTTTACCTAGAACTCGACCGACGCCTAACCTCGATATTGCTTACCTTATTATGCGACTTCACACGGGAAATAGAGCGCAGGCACCTATGATCAAAGACAGCTAGTCTTTTCATGTCTTCCACTCTCAGTGGCCAGGTCTCGCAGTCATAAAGGAGGACGGAACGGGCTGATGAGCAGTACACCCCCCTTTGGTCGATAGTCGAAGTACGGGCACAATGTACACTTACATTAAAACGACAAAAATGTGGAAAGCCTAACCTGACAAAACCAGAGACAGAAGCCCTGAAACACCTTAAGAATAACAAGGATATAGTAATCACAAAGTCAGACAAAGGAAATGCAACAGTAGTATTAGACAAATCAGACTATTTGGACAAGGTAAATACTCACATACAAACAAGACCATATGGGGAAATTAATAAATCAATAGACACAGTTATGAATAAAGTTATGAAATCCACATCGGACCTTATACGTCTAATGAAGCCGTTTCTAGGTGAGTCTGAGGGGTTTGATTTAATGCCAAAAACTAATAACCCCAGTAGGATGTATGGTGTTGTTAAAGTTCACAAGTCAGGATGCCGTATTAGGCCTATAGTTGATTTTAGAAATTCACCTACTTATGAATTATCTAAATATTTAGCCATGGTATTAAATCCCCTAAAAGGCCACTCGAAATCTAGACTAACTAATTCTTATGAACTAAAACACAGATTAGATAATTTAAACCTAGATCATGAATAAAAAATGGTTAGTTTTGACATTGTCAGTTTATATACACGTATACCAATAAATATGGTTATAGAGGGAGTCAGAAACTAAATCATTTCTGACCAAGAACTCGGACTTAGGACAAAAGTGCCACTTGAGGAGATAATGCTGGGAGT